AAACTAAAGTAATTTTTTTGTGGAGGAAATAGGGGTTTTTCCTTGACTTTTTTTTTGGTACTTCCATCTCCACAAACTCAAAAAAAAATTAAAATTGTAATAGAAAACTTTATACAGCTGTATAAAAGGAAATTCTTTAATTCATCACAAAAAGTTACTGCATAAATTCAAACCATTTTTTACATTAAAAAAAGTGCTATTTATCACTGACTTGTTGTATCTGATATTTTGAGTAAGGAGTATTGATTTTTTTTAATATAAAAGAACGACACTGAACCTGTAATCTTCATTAAAAGCAAGTTAAATTTTTTTGAATACGCAAGCAACATTTATTCAGAATAGTTCCCAAAAACCGTATTGAGTTGAAGTGAATCAAGCAGACTAGGCCAATCTGTTTCAAGACTTATTAGAATATCCATGAAAGAGAGACTTAGGTTAGGTTAGGTCCATCAAAACCCGTAAGGAAGAGAGACGTATCTCCAATACGACAAATTGGCTACGTTTTGATATAAGAGCAATAACATAAAGAAGATCCAATTTGAGCCTTATAAAGCATACAAAATTATCGAGATCGGGACATCTCAAGTGTATTTTTTCTTCGCTATTCCTATAAATTGATTGTGCCTAGTTACTTTAAAACATAATATAAAACTGAAGCCTGGATGGTTTTTTATTGTTGAATTATATTTGGTTACTTTCACTAAAATTTGAGCGACAGAATGTGGAATGTTCCTCGTGACGAAAATTAAGTAGTTTTCATGAAAGAGCTCTAAAACAACGCATTTAAAACTTATCATTTCAACCTTTTTCTTTAAAAAATCATTTAAATACTTAAAAAAGATGAANAAAGCCAAAACATAGAAGTTGAATAGCTCTGAATGTCTCAAAACAGGAGATTTTTTCCTTAAAGACTTCCAACAATAGTGGACCAAATAGTATTGAATTATTGTTTTTTTCCTACTATAGACATAAATGTTTCTTGGGAAAATCAATCATTATTATATTGAACTTGGAAACTATGTTAATATTGTGATTGAACACCATCTGAAAAGTAGTTTCAACTGTTATTTATTTTCTGTTTTTGCCAATTTTTATTTTCAAAGAGCTCTTACATTTCCTCTAACCCAAACTTTTTTAAAATTTCTTGTCGATATATTTTTGCGACAGTAATTGCATAAACAAATCCTAATGGTAGAAAGGCTGGATTTATTTCATAACTTTGATAGAAAATATCTCGTTCAAAGCAACAATGAATTTAAATCGTTGAACAAAAAAGTTTAGATCTGCGTCGAGAACCTTAAGGTCATAGTATGATCAAAATCGATTCCTGCAAACTTAAAAGATGTCTGAGAAATATTTCACTTACATGTCATTTGAAATATTGAATGGATCCCTGTCAGGTGACCTCGGAGGCGGGGGGAAAGAATCTTCTTGAAGAACATTTATGACACCTGCTTTTCCTAACAAAATCTTAGATTTTTTCACGTGAGGATGAGGGATCTTAACCTTCACAGGAGTAGCTTGACCTGAAATTGAATAAATTTCTTAACCACTTCTGATTATTTCAATGTGTAGGATTATAATACTTAAAAAACACAAAATTCTACACAGAAAATAGCCTTCAAGTAATATCATGACTTAAGTAAGTATTTTATCTAGTGAAAAAAATTCAATATGTTTGTCTTTCATCATAAATTCAATTAATTATTCCGTTTCTGAATTCACAAAAAGTACAAGTTACCTTTGCAAGTGATTTGATTCATGATTAATTTCGAAGTTAGGTCCAGTTCAAAATAAATTATTTCGAAAATAATTCTTAAAAAGGGTATCTGATATATTGCTACATATACAATGGATTTTTTACCATTGCCAAAATATTCTACAATACACGATCGAGACACTGCTTTTACCTGCGATTTGTTTGGAAGGGTCAATATCATCAGGTATTCCCAGTATAATATTCTCATCGTTAGGATCCAAAGTCAAGATCGACGGTTTTGGAACTTTTTTCATGTTTTCAGCATCCCAGATAACATCATCTTCCCATCTACCATAAACCAAGTCTTCATTTTCAACAGGAAAAATGGAATACCAAGTGTCATCCTGCTCCTGATCAGGTCTCGGTTTCAACCTAAAAACGCGAAATGATAAAACAAGAACTTCATACTACGTACTATGTCTTACAATTGCGTTTTTGACTTCAAACCCTGCAATGGTGGATTCGGTACAGGAGGCATTCGAACTGACGTGCCTACTTTTCCTGGTTGACTGAAAGCCTGAGCTGTTCTATTGCCGCTACTGGGGACCCATCCCGCCGCATTTGTTTTAGAACTCAATTTCTGCAACACCTGGTTCACAATAAGGGCGAAATAATTTATCATTCGTCTAAATTGAACAATGTTTATCCAAAGTGAACTCTATAAAATGGATTTTGGAGAAGAAGCAACACAAAATATGATATATTATCAATAAATAAATTGTTTTCTTCAGTACTACAGTAATACAACCTGAATCATCTCATGTTTTCCTATCGTTAAGAGAACTACCTTTTGTTTTATATCATTTCCGTCCCAAACCACATCATCTTCCCAATTCAATTGAGTAACCATCAAGAAAGCATCATCTGGATATGGTTCGTCTTGATTTTCTTCATGTGCCTCATTTTCTTCAGTCACCTATATAAGAACAAAAAAATACTTAATTTCTATACAAATTCTATATTTGAATTGAAGGGGTTATATTTTTAGGAGTGATTCATTTTTGGAAAAGAAAGTTTTTGGCTTTCTACTACTCCATCTTGATACAAAAAAAAAGTAACTTTATATATGGATGTGTGGATCATGCAAAGAAGTAA